TAATAATAATAATATATCCCATTTAAAATATAGCACCATATCGCATAAAAATATAAGTTCATGTCATAAACAAAATGATATAAGAAAACGAGAGGCGGTGATTAAGCAGCCAGGATATCGGTGAGGGTGGTTGGCGGGTGCTCTGGTGTGGTTTGCTCCTTCTTTCCTATAAAACATCACAATCTATATCTCCCCTCCTTCTTTTTTGTGTTTGTTACTCTCTTGTAACACCTCTAAACTGAGGCACTTATATGATCTTTTTTTGTTGCAAGTGCCGTAAAACTCTTACTAAAACTAAATCAAAAGGATATCTGTTGGTCTCGTTCCTCTGCTCAGCCAGCTGCTCCATCTGCATGGCGTATTTCAGGCCCCTGACCCACTTGTCCCGCGCCTCCTTCGAGGGAGCCATCATGTATAGGATCTTGTGGGTGGCGCCCAGGATCACCACGAAGCACAGAGATTTCTGTTAGGGGCGGGGGTGGCGGGGAAAGGGGGGGGGGGCGAAGAAGAACAACACTCAGATAGTAGTAAGGTTGATGAGGTGAAAGCAAATCTCTTGTTTTTGTGTTTGTTTGTCTGTCTGTCTGTATGTATGTTTGTCTGTTTGTATATATCTGTTTGTTTGTTTGTACGTTGGTTTGTCTGTCTATTAGCCAGTCTTTATGTACCCCGGCCTCTGTCTGGCTCTCTGTCTGTTTGTCTATAGGTATCTCTGTCTCTGTCTCTATCTGTCTATCTGTCTATCTGTCAGTCTGTCTACTTGTCTCTCTGTAAAAGTCTGTCTGATTCTCGCTTTCTCTTTCTCTCTGCCTATCTGTCCCTGTACCCCCCCCCCTCTCTCTTTTTGTTTTTCTCCTCCACATCCACTCACATACAAACACACAGACACACAGACACTCACATATATTCACATACACATACAGACACACAGACATACTTACACAGGCACACACACAAATAGACAAACGCGTATCTACGCAGTTACACTAATATACATAGACACATACCCATGCACAAAGAAACGAAGAGAAATATAAGCGACAACACTGTAAAATGACCAAAACATCCCAGAAAACAAACATGATGAAAAACAAGAAAAATCTCTTCCCCACCCCTATCCACTCCCCACCCCACATCCGTCCCATAACACACAGGCCCACCCACAAAACTACCCCCCCCCCATCCCAACCCCACCTCTGATCACCACAACCCACGACACCCGAATTCTATTCTCACCTACCCCCATCCATCCCCTTCCCTAAACTCCACCACTCCATCCCCCACTCTCCCAATACCCCAATCCTCAACGATCGCACTCCTACCAATAACCATCAATTA